ATATATATATATATATATATATATATATATATATATATATATATATATATATATATATATGTATATATGTGGGGGTTAAGGGAGAGAGGAAGTACATGAGCGTGGCGAATTCTCATGAGCACAATGAGGACGCGCACGAAAGGAACTTCGTGTGGCTAGGTACGCAGGAAGACAGGAGCATCAGGCACACGGCCCTGACCAGGCAGAGAATCGAATGCGTAATTTCAACAATTTATTACTCAAACTCTCACTCCCCACAAAAGAAACTATTGCAATAAACAATAACAATCAGAACAAAGTTGCGCGCTTGCACCTGGAACACTCCGACTAGGATACACGACTCAAGCGGACCACCGCTCACTCATACACACGATACTTATACTATCTAGCGCAATTCGCATAGATTCACGCAGGAATGCTCGCGCGGCGTGCTGAACGCAGCACGACGGACGGACGGAATCAAAGCGCACACCACTCATAAACTCTACAATCCGCGGTGACTACGCACAGCGGATATTCACTCTACAACGTCGATCGGCTGAAAGCCCGTGCGGAATGTACACGAAATGGCGGCTCGTGTACCGCACACGTGGTATGCACGTGTCCCGAGAGCCCGCACGGAACGCACACAAAATGGCGGCTCACGTACCGCACACGTGGCACTCACGTGTATCACGACGGCTCGACCGCGACCCGGACAACGCACGTCCAAAATGGGAGCGGCGCTCGGCGCACGCTACACGCGCCCGGCGCACGATGCTGGGGGCACCTGCGAGAGCAGGGTGTCCGCGCGGAAAACTATAGAATCGCTGCTTACACGCCACGCACGCGGTTATCACGTGCCCGTGACTCAGCGATATGAGCCGGGACGACTGCGACCTGGACAACGAACGTCCAGGGCAGAGCGCTCGACGGACGCGATCCGGCAAGAAACGCACGTCACCCGGGAACCCGCTGGGCCGGGATGCTTGCACGGAGTCGCACAACGACGTCGCGAACAAAGACTAGAGAACGAACGGCGCGGCTCAGCTCGACACAAAGAATCTTTCTCGGACTGGGGAGAACCGCGCGACCGACACACACAGGCGGATTCACGAAGAGACAAAGGCTCTCGATCGATGCTCGGATCGATCATTTATTACCTCCACGCGCGCCACGGCGAAGTCGCGAACAACTCGCGCAGCTGGAGTCGCTGCTTACGGCGGTTGACGCGTGATGGCGACAGCTGTCTATCGCACGCCCGAAATTGCGAAACCCGCGGAGCCTGAGGCGGTGACGGAGGCGGAGGCGCCACAAGTACTCCCCCCCCCCCCCC